TATATATATATATAAAAAATTCTGCAACTAGGGCACAAAACAGCAAACTTTCCCTCCTTTTTATTCAATGAAATTACACTTGCACTTTTCAGGGATGGAGGAGGACTCAAATGGAGGCATCCTCACTGGAAGGGGGAAGTTTGAAGCAACCTGGTAAAAATGATTTGACCAAGGCCCCAGAAGCCAGCAGTGTTCCTGGCACACTCTCAATTCCCATGAGCTTGAACTAGAGTCAGGATAGGTTTGCATTTCTGAAAAAAATCAAGCCCTTATGAAGAAAAAGGAAGACACTGCAGTTCTCCTGTCTCCCTCATCATCTAACACTTGCTGTGCAAGTGTTCCCCTTACCTTTCTCTTTATGGCATTGTAAAAAGCTCTCATGAGCTAGTGGGGGCATTATTAAGAACCATGAATTGCAGGCTAGTAACGCCCAAGCAGCTCATAAAAAAGCATTTGAATCCCTTAAAAATCGAGGAGAAGGAGCCATTATAAGCCAACACAAACACACCAAGGTATGCACTTTGAAAGCAAATCTGTTCTTCAGCAGGCAATAAATACGAAGTTTAGTTATCATGCAGCCTCAGCCCCACAATTACCGCTGCCATTGGAATGCCTCTCCTGTCACTTCTATTTCAGCTCCGACGTGTATGAGGAATCTACAGCCTAAGGAAGCGTCTCTTGGAGATTATAGTGCCAAGGAAAGATTGTGACTGCTAGGGAGCAGTTCAGTGCTTGCTCATTTAAGTCAGTAATGATTTGCCCAGTCACATCTCATGGACTATTGCGCCTACTACTCCCTTCACCTGTGTGCAAAATCAGGAGTAAACACCCCTGAAGTTAGCAGCTTCATCAGTGATGAAGAGGAGGCGGAAGCCCGAGTGCTTGGAGCTTGAGACTCACAAAAGGAGCACACAGCGGTGTATACTCACACGGCACAACTCTTTGCTGTGTAGTACTTGCACCTTCCCGTGCAAGGCAGAAGGGGAAACAAGTCAGGCTTCCTCAGGCTAAAAAAAAGAAATGGATGGGACAAACCAAACCCACAGCAGAATGCCTCCTATTTATAAAGACTATTAACCCAACATTTGAATTTGCTGTGTTGAGACAAGGCTATTGTCAAGAACAAAGGAATCTCTCAAACACCCGGCCACTCCATCTATCACTAGGCACAGACGATGAGCTACCCAATACTCACCGCCAATGAGGCAAACGTCCTTCCTCTGCTGTTCTCAGAGCAACACAGGACCACATTCAGAGCAAGCAAATAAAGCCAAGAGGGGCTGGCAGCTGGGCCTCAGGGGTATGAATTATATGTGGAGATTTTCAAATATTCCACTCAGTTTTTTTTGCAAACATTTTCTTTTGAGAATTTTCCCTGCAAAACTTCTGCTGTTTTCTGGCTGCTCTGGTTAAGGATAGCAGAGACTGCTGGTTGGTCCAAATCATATTAACCCAGTTAATCCTGACAAAGCCTCCCATGTTTAAAACTTGATGGTGGTCAAACTGGGTTAAGCAAAACAGAACAGTGTGGAAGCAGTGCTCAAGGGCAAACTGCATTAGGAACACATTTGCAAGCTGTGCTCTAAAGCAGAGCAGAGGTTTTCAAACACCCTTTTGGTCTTGGAGTTGATGTAAAGGGGAGATGAGCAAGCAGTCGCCTCCTTTCCACCAAACCTGATGCAGCAATCTCCCTCTCATGCTTCACTCAGATTTAACAACCAGTTTGATCATAGCTACATCAGTGGCACAGTACAGCTCTATTACATGCACGACAACGGCACTTCAAATACCCCAGAAGTGTATGTGCGTCTCTGTTTCACTGCTTAGCCTAAGCAGATGTCAATTTTATGCCAAGCTTTCCCTGGGGAATGCAGCTAGCCTCAGGTAGACAAAATGCAATTATGCATCTTGAAATTTGGTCAGGACGCTAGCCTTTGTATACAGCATTACACTTGCCCCTTTTAACCACCATAACCAAAGACAGTCACGGCTTGAGACAAGGAGGGGAAGCGACAGACCTGCTTTCTGCTGGAGGTTTGGACAACACCGTCATACTGGTCCCCCTTATTACACCAGGCAGAAACACCCTCTCCCACTCACAGCAAGTAACAGACACACTCCACATACAGGCAAAACCCGGCTGCTGTAGTGTAGCTTGGTTTTATTTATGTCCACAAATATTTCAAAAAAATTACAAAATACTCAAATGGAGAGAACACAGAAGTCACGATTTCTGGGTTTCTACTCTGTTTACACTGTGTTATCCCATGGCAAACTACTCATATATACAGTAAGCTTCAAGATATATATAAATGTAGCAGTCAGAATGTACACTCTGCTTAACGGTGCAGTGAAACAAGCTCAACCATGACGACATAGAACAAGAGAGACGTTTCAAAAACACTAAAGCAAAATTTAAAAAAGAAAACCTTCCAAACAGAGGGGGGAAAAATAATAACAAAGGATTTTTTCTGAAAGGAAACCAAAAGATTTGGGTGGTTTATAACAGGGCATCGAACACCAAGATGGTTTCAAAAGCCATTGCGGATAAAAGTTGCAGTTAATCATCCATTTGAGAAGGAAGGACTTCATTGCTTCTGTGCTCAGGGATGTTTAAAGAAAAAAGGGTTGTCAGAAGGCTGAGCGGAAAAGATGATCAACTAATTGCTTCTGAACAGTGATTGTAAAAGCAGGAGTTTGCTGTTTGGAAAAACTGAGGGGGAGAGAAAGAACAATGAATGAATCGGCACCTTTTTGTTAGTAAAAACAGAACTGACAACAAAATAAGGAGGTAGGGCGGTCAAATGAAATGGGTGGTATTCCTGCCTCCCACAGTCCTGGATAGTTGGGGGGTGGGATTCAAATTCAATTTATTTCATTCAACCCTTCAGTATTATTGGATGCTCTGTCCCCTCTGACCAGGGAAATCGTGGTGGCACCTCTACCATAAGCCGAGCTTCAAAATGGTATTTACTAGACAGGCGCTACTTCTTCTTCACCTGATCACAGCAGACAACCTGAGGAACTGCAGACTTACTGGTTGTGTTGAATCTCTCGGTATCCAAAGCCCAAGGCATCTTTACACATGCTCTGGAAGA